AACAAATTATCAAATTCCTGTAATAACTTTGACAATCAAGCTAACTAACACATCCATCATATCAATATTTAAAAGAGGAGAAAACACCTTGAGTTGAAGAGACTAAGACAGATTTATGAAATGGTGGGGTATAAACTTTGTTTTGATGGATACTTTACAATCCAGATAAACAAGAATAAATATAAAAGGTACTATATTAGCCATCTAGGACTGCTATAACAAAATTCCACAGACTGGGTAGCTTAAATTACAGGAATTTATTTTTCACAGTGTGGGAGGCTGAGAAGTCCAAGATCAAGGGGCTGGACAATTCAGTTCCTGGGTGAGGCCCTCTTCCTGCGTTGCAGATGGTGCCTTCTTGTTTTGTTCTTGCAGGGAGGAGACTGAGAAAGAGAGCAGGTTCTCTGGTTTCTCTTCTTGTAAAGAAACCAATCCCATCATGAAGGCCCTATCTTCATCAGCTCATCTAGATCTAATTACTTCTTAAAGGCTCTATCTCCAAATACTATCATATTGGAGGTTAGGGCTTCAACATATAAATTTGGGGAAGACAGAATTCAGTCTATAGCAGGTACATTATAACCAAACTTTAAGGCAAAAGAAGGCAAGGACTCTTGGTAGGAAAGTGAATAGACCAGCAGAGGAGTACTTGGAGGTAAGCATGAAAACACACAGGGTATCCAGACTATGGACAGCCTTAAATGACAGACTAGGGAATTTAACACTGCTACATAATTGAACTCGATCGAAGTTGTTTTCCAAAATAATTTGGTTAGGTATTATAAGATGTTTTGAGGCAGGACAACAAAGAGAAATTAGATGTAGAATGACTTGTCCCAATGTGAAGGTGCCACAAATTACCTTAACATATGACTTACTATAAGAAATGTGATTCAAAGTGGGGCAAAAGAGACTTAAATGAGTGTGGCAATAAAAGAATCTTAGAAATCAACTGGGGATATAGGAACCAAATATATATATCATAGGGCCTCTTTCTCAAGTAAGCACCTAGAAATATGTAACTTCTACCATGTGTGAAAATAACCTGTTTGGAGGATAGGAGAAAGGGGGCAATAAATTCAACAGCTGTCATTCAAAATCAGTTTTGAGCAATACTAAATCACATGCATGAAGTGCAGGGCAAAAAAGTCTCATTCTGATTTGCTGATACAACTTTTCTCAACTACAGAATTTACAAAAATGTTGGTTTGAGGCAATATTTTAAGAAGTACAATAATTGTAACCTCATCTGTTCATCTTTTTTTTTTAATCTAAGATAGGAGGCAGAACAAATTTAAAAAGATAATTGGAGAATGGGCATTGGGTGTGTGTTGGGGGGAAACTAAATACAGGTTGAGCATCCCTAACCATAACATTCAAAATCCAAACTGCTTCAAAATCTGAAAATTTTTGAGTGCACACAAGTGGAAAATTTCACACTTGACCTCACATGACGGGTCATGTGTTTTATGCACGAAATTATAAAAAATATTGTATAAAATTACTTCAGGCTACGTGCATAAAAAAATAAATGTCCTGTTTAGACTTAGGTTTCATCAAAAGATATCTAATTGTATATGTGCAAATATTCCAAAAGATGAAAAAAATCTAAAAGTTGGAGCACTTCTGGTCTCAACCATGTCAGATAAGGGATATTCAACCTGTGTTTACAAAAAGCTTCCTTAAAAAGAAGAAAAGGAGGCGGGGGGAGGAGGAAGTAGAAAGGGGAGCAAGAGAAGGAGAAGTTGTTTTAGGGAGACAGCAAAACCAAGCACTCTAAATGACATACATTTTTCTGCTTTTACTCTAAACTTCATAACCTTAGCCAAGGAATATAATTTTTGGTCTTAGAGTTTTCTAAACACAAAGTAGTCCACCGAACTTTTTATTTATTTTTTATTTACAAAGCTGTTAAATTTATTATAGGAGAATACTTAAGACTTTTTCTTGAGTAAGAGCAGCTTAAGGGACAATAATGAATGTGATGTCAGGAAACAGTGATCCTTTGATACTTCCTTCTACCTAGCTAGCAAGCAATGTTACTGTTCAGAAGCTCCTATTCTTAAAAGGAAGCACAGATGTCTATTTTATTTTTTTTTCTAATCAAGAGCTTATTTTTTCTATACTTTTAAGAATTATTATAGCACCACATTTTATTCTAAATTTTATCAGTTCCATAATTATTTTCTTAAGTTTTTTTCCATTTCATTTTCACATAAATATTATTTGCCCAATAATATTTTCACATGTAGAGCACTAACAAATTATAGCAGGGAGAAGAATTTTAACTAAGTTTTGTGCTACCATCTTAGTCATTCTCTTGTCCCAAATTCTCTTTCAACTTGGAAGTTACATTGTATCTACCACCTATTCAGGAAGATTGGTGGAATCTCCATTAACCTTAAGTGAATGTTCATTGCTATGCAAGATAACCTTTATGACTATTATTGGTAATTTTTTGTCTTATCAATTTCTTTTCTCCATGTCTATTTCTTTTATTTCCTTCCTCTCTTTCTCCTTCCCTCTGTCCCTTCTTTCCTCCTTAATTCTTTAATAAACTAAATATACTTATATATGCAATCCACCTAACTCATAGTGGCAGTATTTATAAATTCTACCTTTCTGGAGGACACATACATAATCAGATCAGTTACTGTTAATATATGTCAAACAGCCTGGCAATCTTACTTGATCTTCTGTTTAATCAGTTTTACCTGCTTTTCATAACATTTTTACATTACTTCATTATTTATTAAGACAAAAGAGTGTATTTAGGGGTGGCATGGGGTGTAGAGAGGAGGGCATGTAAGCCTTTTCATTCAACCAAGGCTTATGTCCTTTAGGAAATCCACTGTGACTCATTACAGTAGATAGTTACGAACATTTAGAAGATATTCTATGAGACAAACGGAGCAACTTTAATCTGGGAAGGAGTAAAAAGAGAATACTAGCAGATTTACAAACGAGACGATAAGAGGAGAGGAGACAACAAAAAATTAAACATGCTAGTACTTGATTCATAACACCCGGGGGTAACTGAATCTTTCTAATGCAGTTTTTCTCTAGCTTATGAGGCATATCTATTCCACAGGCTCCTAAAATTCCACGTCTAAACCAAAGAACTAATCATCTTTCGTATACACCATTTTCTTCTGCATTCCCTACAGACGCTAAGAGAAAAAAAACATATTCTTGGGTTCAATGGTCTATAGGGAATTCAGTTCCTGTCTACAACAAAGTCTTCACTGTCTACTTTTAATGGAAATTAAGAACGATGAGGTCTTTCATAAAACTAAAGTTATTATATTTAGGAAATTCAGAATTCTGAAATTCTGAAATTACCTTGCCTTTTTTTATTACGACAACTGAGTAGATTTTGTTTATGGTATTTTAGGATCTTACTTAAAATAAAAGCACAAAATAAAAAGTACAAAAATTAAGTAACTCTGTATTTTCCCCTACTTTTTAATTTTATTTGTACTATTCAATGAAAATCCCAAATCTGTGAAGCAGGATTCTCATCTGCTCTTCTGTTCACTTACTTACTCCAGCGGTTTGTAGATTTCAGTGAACCTAAGAAATACCTACGACCATGTTAAAAATGTAGATTCTTGCTACTACACCTCTCTCACAAGAGTTTTTGGCATCAGTACCCAATCCTTCGTTTACTTTGCAATAATCCAGTTACCTTATAGGTTGAGACCCTTAAAAATGTGATTCATTCCATTAGTAATATCCACTTGAGTAACATCCACTTGTCCCCAGAAATTCTGGAGCTTACTGAGTATTCAGTTTCTTGATGAACGGGGCACATCTTAAGTTTCATAGGTTTAGGGGACTGGACTGAGCAAATCGACTAACTATAACCTTGTTTCTACAGAGTTCCAGCTTACAAGTCAGGAATCGCCTATATTCTTTCGAGAGCTACCAGTTCCCACTTGAGGGCCTCAGGACAGGTGCTCAGCTCAATTCTGTTGAACGTTTTATTAAACATAGGAGTGAGTTAACCGCTGGGTTTTAAATGAAGTAATTACAGTTTTGCAACTTACCCCATAGCTTTCTTCCAGAACTTATTTTGTTATCATTATTATTACTAGTTTGGAGAATGACATGCAAACAGCCAGATAACCACTGGCGGTTGTGCTCGAGAGCAGGGTGAGGCCGGTTGGTTGCTGCAGTGCCCAGGCCTGCAGGGAAGTGCCCTGGCAGAACCGACACACACCTTTCCTCGCGCGCGGTCACAGGGCTGAGCAGCAAAGCGCTCCCTCGGGCACTGTGAGTGAGCAGGCCCGGAGATAAAAGGCCCAGAGGGACGTTTAGGGGACTGGACTGAGCAAATCGACTAACTATAACCTTGTTTCTACAGAGTTCCAACTTACAAGTCAGGAATCGCCTATATTCTTTCGAGAGCTACCAGTTCCCACTTGAGGGCCTCAGGACAGGTGCTCAGCTCAATTCTGTTGAACGTTTTATTAAACATAGGAGTGAGTTAACCGCTGGGTTTTAAATGAAGTAATTACAGTTTTGCAACTTACCCCATAGCTTTCTTCCAGAACTTATTTTGTTATCATTATTATTACTAGTTTGGAAAATGCCATGCAAACAGCCAGATAACCACTGGCGGTTGTGCTCGAGAGCAGGGTGAGGCCGGTTGGTTGCTGCAGTGCCCAGGCCTGCAGGGAAGTGCCCTGGCAGAACCGACACACACCTTTCCTCGCGCGCGGTCACAGGGCTGAGCAGCAAAGCGCTCCCTCGGGCACTGTGAGTGAGCAAGCCCGGAGATAAAAGGCCCAGGGGGACAGCTCCACCACAGGAGACAGGACACGCCTCAGCCCGGGCAAATTCCCGGCCTCCTCTGGCCCCAAGCCAGCAGCCGCCGCCCGCCACCTCCTCTCCTCCGCCGCTGTCGCCCCAGCCGCCCCGCCGGGTCCCGAACTCCCCCGCGCCTCGGCGCGCTGCCCCTCGGTTCACGGCGCTGTGGGCGCGGTTGGGACGGACCGATGTGGCGCATGCGTGGTTGCGCCACCAGGCGCGGGAGATACGGCAGCGGGGACGGCGTCGGGGATAGCCGCGGGCCAGGCCGCCCCGGCCGGGTCTGTGACAGTGGCGACAGCGGTGGCGGCGTGGGCTGGCGAGGCCGTGCGGGCGGCGCCCGACAGCAGCTGGAGGAACGGTTCGCCGACTTGGCGGCGAGCCACCTGCAGGCCATCCGCGCGCGGGACGAACGGGACCGGCAGAACGCGCGGCTGCGCGAGGAGAACGCCAGGCTGCGGCTCGAGAACCGGCGGCTGAAGCGCGAAAACCGCAGCCTCTTCCGTCAGGCTTTGCGGCTCCCTGGCGAGGGCGGCGACGGGGCGCCCGCGGAGGCGACCCTAGGCCCCGAGGAGGCCGGCACGAACCGGATGGCGAGAGGCAGAAGCCGTGAGGAAGAGCCGGGCAGCCCCAGGGCCCTGAGGGCCCGGCTGGAGAAGCTGGAGGCCATGTACCGCCGGGCCTTGCTGCAGCTGCACTTCGAGCAGCGGGGGCCGCGCCCGCGTTGGGACAAGGAGGAGCTGCCCCCGCGGGAACCCGACTCCGGCCTCCTAGCCCGGGACCCCGAGCCTGGCGGGCCCTGGCTGTAGCTCGAGGCTGCGGCAGGGAGGGGCGGGGCCTCGCGCGGGCCCCTCCCCTCCGCTCCTCCTCGCCCCTCGCACTCCGGGGGCCGCGCTCCGCTCGCGGTAACTGGAGCGCGGTGCTCTCCCGCCCCCTGTCCGCAAGCGGACGCTTCCGGGTGGCGCTTCGCGTTCTGCCCGGCCCAGGGCGAGAGTGTGTAAGGGCAATCTGTTGTCCCCGCATGGACAGAGCACCTGCCTCGTGCCTCTCCTGGTTTCCGCGGAGAGAGGCCTAGCACCGGAGGGGCGGGTTTAAAACAGCAAGATCTGAATGCCACCAAACACCTCCTGATTCTTGAACTTTTCTAGGTGGTGTGAGGACCTTCTGTGTTTTCTTCCCTCTAGTTTGGTTCTTTGAGGGATGATAATGCGTTTTGAGTAGGTTTACTTTTTTGTTCGTTCTTCAGTCCGCTGAAGCCTCCAGCTGTTATCTCTGATGTGGCCAACGTTTTATTTGTTTTTATAAGTCGGTATTACTTGGATGTCCTGTAAAGAACTACCTTTTTATAAAGAAGATATTTATAACTTTGGAACTCATGTCTGCCTCTGGCTCCAGTCTGTATACATCTAATATATACGATTTGTTTATATCGTATTTAGGGAATTTTTAAAGTATTTGCCTGTAGGTGATCCTTTGAATTGGTAAATAAATCTGGTTCATTAAAAATAACCGAAAAGCTTCCCACGATTATTATTTGAAATATGTTAAATTGTTGTACATTTCTTTAAGACATGATATATTTATATATCATACGTATTTTAATATCTGGCCTTGATTATACTTTGTAAACTATCATTTTTTTTTTGGTTTGTTTTATGTAGCAGTGATCTTTTAAAATAATGTAAAGATTAGATAGTCTAAAAGTCATTATGTTTGACTTCACATTAGAACTTAATCAGTGCGTAGCTAATTTGCCTTATTTGGGCTGTTTAAGAACTTTTAAGTAATTATGAATTAATTGTATATCAAAAGCACCCAAACAAAGGGCCTTTAGTCTCAATTGTGATTTCAGTGGCAGAAAAAAAGTCACTACTTTGAACAAAAAATGTTCCAAGATCACCTTTATTGCATTTTGTTAGTAACACTTTTGCCTAAGTAGTGAAGAGGATGCCATTGTGCCTGATAAAAATTCACAAGTATAAAAAAGTGTTTAAATGTTGGGGGGAAAAATCATGAGTAGAGTTGTTAGGGGAACAAAATGTGTACTATTTATTAAAAGTTTCAAATATTTACTGTATATTTCAAAATAAGGTACCAGGGAAACCAGTTCTGGGTTTTGAAGACACTTTACATTTTGTTTAAAGGTAATTTATATTCAGATTTGAATATTAAATTTTCCCCTATGGCCAAAAAACAGGACAAATTTGGTGAGGGGAGGCGAGTGTATAAACATTAATTCTATCCTCCTTTAGTTTTTTAATACTGAAAGAAAGAAAACATTTCTAGTAGGCAGTAGAAATTGAAGAATTGGAAGAAGTTAATCTGCCTTACGGCTGTTTAACTGTAACTTTAGATTTAAATTAGTTATGCTGTCTTAGCCTTACCTTTCTTATCACTAAAATGAACATAGCATCTACTTCAAAATATTATAAAAATTTTATGGAGATAATATGAGCAAAATGCCTGCTTCAAAGTAAGTGCTCAATCACTGAGAATTATATTCTATCCTCCTTTAGTTTTTTAATACTGAAAGAAAGAAAACATTTCTAGTAGGCAGTAGATATTGAAGAATTGGAAGAAGTTAATCTGCCTTACGGCTCTTTAACTGTAACTTTAGATTTAAATTAGTTATGCTGTGTTAGCCTTAACTTTCTTATCACTAAAATGAACATAGCATCTACTTCAAAATATTATAAAAATTTTATGGAGATAATATGAGCAAAATACCTGCTTCAAAGTAAGTGCTCAATCAGTGAGAATTACAATTCAAAGCATGAAAATGGGAAGTGCATATTTTACTCATGGTTTCCCTTGCTTTCTGTATCTTGCTTTTGTAGGACTTTATGAGTATTAGCAGACATATGTAAATTTTGAATTAGTTGACATTTTTCACTACTTATAAGCTAATAGGGGAGATAAAAAGCTATATAATAAAAGAATAATGCAATATAACATTAAAAAATATTTGCCAACTGGGACAAAATTGGGAATATTCAACAACTAAGAAAAGTATTTTTGTTGTACACAGTTCTTAAACACTCTTTGTATTAAAATGTGTACAATGTAAGTATGAATGAATGTTAAATTTACTAGTGAAAATGTTTTTGTAAAATAATGAGGCATACCCCCGCCCCCACCCCACCCACAGAAATGAGGATTACTTTTAAGAATAATTCCTGAAAGGCATTAAAAATTCTGAAACTGAACTGATCCGTAAAATTGGTTAAGGCTACTGTACATTACAAGTTTGATGAATTTCCCTGCTGATAACTGATAAAGCATCAAGAAAGATGTATTGTTATATCAAAATATGTAGCTATTTAAGAAATGAGTAAAGTTGATTTTAGAAAAGTTTGACCTAGGATTTATTTATTTTTATTTATTTTTTTTCCTTTTTGTCTTTTTTCGTGTCTGGCAACGGATCGCAACCCTCAGTGTCGTGTCTGTACCAGACCGGGACGGCAACGGGATCGCAAACCTCGGTTTCCTTTTTGTCTTTTTTCGTGTCTGGCAACGGATCGCAACCCTCAGTGTCGCGTCTGTACCCGACTGGGACGGCAACGGGATCGCAAACCTCGGTGCTGCGCCCGCACCTCGCTCAGCCAGTGAGCGGGAACCGGTCTGTATGTGGGATCCGAACCCTCAGCGGGAGTGCCGGCGTGCTCCCAAGTGGCACACTGTAGCAGTGCGCCACAGGGCCGGCCCTTGACCTAGGATTTAGCTTGATCTAAAACTAAAACTGCAGTGTACCTTACCTTATTGCAATCACAATTTACTTTCTTAATAAATTGGTCATACAATGAAAAGAGGGCTTACAATTTATAGAAACTAGCAACGAAAATAGGTGTTCTTAGCAAACACATTCAATAAAGAGGATTAACATTTTTAAATCAGCATTTTTTATGGCTACTACTCATAAAAATATACTTTAATAAATTTTTTTCTCTGTGAAAAAATAGGATATGAATCAAAGCAATATAAATGAGTACTTATGTAGATCATAGAACAAGCTATTCTTGCTAAACTTCTTGAACGTTATAAATATTTTGAAATATTTTATCTAAATATTCTTAGAAATAGTTTTGCTAATTCATGAGTATTATCATGATGAAACTAATACCAAATTATTTAATGAATCAAATTAACAAAATATACTAAAAAATTATTAGCAGCATGATCTTAATTCCAGTGCCAAAAGACCATTTTCTATTTTGCTAAAAGGAACAGAGTTTTAGTGAGAATTTGTCAAAAAGTGTGTGTAAAAGCTTTATGAATGGCAAAATTTGTATTTCTATTTAGTGATAAATTGATGAATTATAAATTCTAATTTTTTCCTACTATAAACTTAATTCTTGGACATCTATTTTATCTACCTTATATAGACATTATATAAATATATTTATAAGATGGAAATATTAAAGATCAAGGAAAACAGATAATACTCACATCTGACTTTATAAGAATTAAATGTGCTCAAATTTCAAATTTTAAAGCTTAAACTAAGATTATCATCTCTCAATCAGAATTAAACTATGTTGTATTTAATGCATAGCAGATATTGCTTATTATGAAATTCATATTGAGAGCCTACTCAATTGCTAGTATAGTCTTTGCATACTTAATGATAATTTATTAGGAAGGAAGTTCTTTTTTAAACCCAAACTCTCAGATATCTGTTGTACTTCAGAGAAACTTTGAGAAAGGACAACAGTGAATTTGTTAGTGCTTGATTCTTGTCTTAATGGTAAGCATTCTACTCCAAAAATTGAGTTATTTGAGGTAGGAACTCAACGACAATCTATTTCATATTCGCCAAGGGCTTTATAGTGTTCTCTGTTTTTTTCTATTTGTAATGAATTCCTGAAATATCAGGTAGAAAGATACTCAAATCTAAAAACAAATGATACAGAAGAGGCCTTCAAAAAGTTAATGGATTCGTATTATCTTTTAATTCAATTTTTTCACAAACCTTTTGAAGTACCCTCATACACACATACACAGGTAGATATATGAATTTTCAATGTATAGTATCTGATATGGATTCAATTATGTCCCCCAAGTTTTATGTATTGAAGCTTAATCCCCATTGTAACAGCTGAGTGTGGGAAATCCTATTATGGTAATTGAAAGATGAGGCCTTGAAGAGGTGATTAGTTTCTGAGGACCATGCCCGAATGGATTAATAAGGGTGGTCATGGGTGTAGTTCTGAGGACTTTAAAAGGAGAGCATGTGAGTCTCTCTTCTTTGCTCTGCCATTCTTCCATGTGAGACTCCTGCATTACTGCCAAGGAAGACCCTCACCAGATGTGTTCCCTGGACTTTGGACTTTCCAGCCTCTGAAACTGTAAGCATTAAATTTTGTTTTCTTACAAATTACCCAGTTTAAGATATTTATGTTATAAACAACAGAAACGGACTAATACAGAAAGTCCTTTTTCATAGGTATAAAAGTGGTATTTTATATATGAAAAAGCTTTCAAAAAGTCATTTAATTATAAGTTAACTTTAGTAAACTTATCTCATTTTTGGTAACTGGACAAGGCCTAACACTTTCTGTAAATCATCATTCAATTCTCTTAAAGGAATACGATCCATGATTTTCCCTGTTTAGGACTGATGAAAGGTTTC